AGAAAGTTATTTTTCATATCTTTTATTTTCTCTTTTTTTATTTTTTGAGTAACTTTCAGACTTAGTAAATTATTCTTTTCCAATGAAGTAAAACTGAATGTCCTGCTTAAATATTTTCATTTTAACCACTTGTATTATTTCAAAGTAAGGAAAGAAAAGAAATCAGCCAGATGTGCCAAATGATGGCATATTTTTCTTCCCCGTTTCATGATAAAAATAATTAACTGGTTTGACTCGCAGCTTTCTAGAAATGTCTGCACTTTAATCAAAAATTTCTATTTTTTTCACTGAGAGAAAATTTGGCTATGGGACTTGTAAGGTTTCAATGTTAATGTGGTAGTTGCATAACAATTCCGGTCATTATAAACTGTATGTTCTGTTTTCACATCTGCATTGGGTCCAGAACGTCTTCAGGTACAATCAGCATGGTGGTAGGACCAAAACCTCCTTTAATAATAATACCAAAATAATCTTCCTTTTGCTAGATACACAAAAAGAGAAAGCACACCAAGCTGAAACAGAGTCTGAAGGTTGTCAACCTCAATGGAATATAAAAAATGGAAAAAACTTAGAGCCAGGGCAGATGCAGATATAGATGCCACGGTGGTCAGAGATAATTCTTCTGAATCCAACTCGAATGACAGGGTAGATGGAGGTGCCAGTAGTAAATGGGAATGAGCAGATTTGGGGGAAAGGACTGAGTTCAGTCACTTTAGAGAGTTGCCAAACAGTCTTGGACCACAAATCCCCCAGCACCAAGGAGACAGCCAGGCATATGGGTTTGGAGCTCAGAAGCAAATCTCTCCCTGGAAATGTGAACATGAGAGCAGCTAGCTATGGATCCTATTGAACACCATGGAAATGGCTGGGGTGCTGATAAGAGAAAGAGGAGGGCAGGGCTGGGGAACTGTCAGGGAGAGGAGGAGAATAGCCTTCTCTTCAGAATTCTAGTCCGCCCTGGTCTCCCTGGGAAGATGGCTTCTGGAACTCCACCTATCCCTTCTCTCCAGCGCAGAAAGTAGAGGCGTCATCATTCAAGGAATGTAGCTTCAGGTGATCAGGTGATGGCAACTTATTTTAGCAACCATACATTTTTTTTTTTTTTTTTGAGAGGGAGTCTCTCTTTGTCACCCAGGCTGGAGTGCACTGGCACAATCTCAGCTCACTGCCACCTCCATCTTTCCGGTTCAAGCGATTCTCCTGCCTCAGCCTCCCAAGTGGCTGGGGTTACAGGCATGCGCCACCACACCCAGCTAATTTTTGTATTTTTAATAGAGACGGGCTTTCCTCATGTTGACCAGGCTGGTCTTGAACCCCTGGTCTCAAGCAGTCCACCCACCTCAGCCTCCCAAAGTGCTGGGATTACATTCTTGGGCCACCATGCCCAGTCAGCAACCACACTTTATAAAGTTCATATTAACTGTGTAGTCAGTGCAACTCTGTCTTCTCAAAAAAACAGCTGGAAATCAACTTCTTTCTTTAGGCTACATGATGATCATTATTTTATTCTTATTAACTCATGTTTATTGGATTCCCCAGTGCCTTATTACTGGTTCAAATATATCCATGGAATCCAGTTTCTAACACTTACCTAATGTGTGGGTTCAGGCAAGTTTCTTAGCTCTCTGTGCTTCCCTTTCATTACCTGTGAACTGAAGACATTTATAGTATCTACTTCATAGGGTTTGCGAAGCTGAAATGAGTTTATTTATGTAAAGTGCCCAGAACAATGTCTGGTGCATACTTTATTAATGTTAATTGTTATTATCATCATCATCTGAGTCTCTCATGATTATATTCCAAACCATCTCACCTAGTCAGAATTTGTCATTAAGAAAACTATGGGCCGGGCACAGTAGCTCACGCCTGTAATCCCAGCACTTTGCAAGGCCAAGGTGGGCAGATCACCTGAGGTCAGGAGTTCGAGGCCAGCCTGGCCAACATGGTGAAACCCCAGCTGTACTAAAAATATAAAAATTAGCCGGTAGTGCTGGCATGTACCTGTAATCCCAGCTACTTGGGAGGCTGAGGCAGGAGAATCGCTTGAACCCAGAAGGCAGAGGCTGCAGTGAGTCAAGATCATGCCACTGCACTTCAGCCTGAGTGACAGAGCAAGATTTCATCTCAAAAAAAAAAAGAAAGAAAAGAAAAAGGAAAACTATGGAGCATGACATGGAAGCTAGACAAGAAACTTGTTTGCAAACTCCAAGAAAAACCAGGACCTAAAAGAAGGGAAGAGTAGAATGGAGGGTGAGCAGAGTAGGGGGCCTAAGCTCCCCCCCCCTTTTTTTTTTTTTTTTTTTTGGTTGTGTATATTCCATTTCTAGAAGAGTTTCATTTGGAAAAAGGGTTCTACAGTTTTGAGTGCCAAAAAGGAACCATAGGTAAGCTGCTAACTAGGGTAACATCCTATCCCCTCTGAAATAAAATTAAATTTAGCAACACCTTCTGGATTCAGTGGGTGCTGTGTGCAGAGCACCTGCTGGGCTCCATGCAGAGGGGAAGGAATCAGTGTTGTCTGCATCCAAGTAGTTCATACTGTAACAGGTGACCTATACACACAGACCCCTTGCCAGGCAATGTGCCCTGTAGTATGGCCACACGGAGGAGGAGTCCTGGGGAGGCTCCATGGTGAAGGTGGCTTTTGAAGGACTGGCAGGGTGTCAATAGGCAGAGATGCATGGACAGTAAATCCAGGAAACAGGAACAGCATAGCCAAAGGACGGGGCGTCACTCACATTCTCCCCACTGGCCAAATGACACAAATAATGCTCAACTTCTGTGCTGCAGTTTGCTTTGACTGGCAGAGGGGCGCGAAAGACAAGGGAGCCAGCGTGCTGCACAGCAGGTTTAGC